CCGGAGCTTGTAGTACTCCTAACTGAGCAGGTGTAAGCTGACATAGAGCGGATGCAACTGCTAATCCAGATGTGCCGTTCGGGGTGGTTGCGCGGCCTCCAGTTGGCAATCGAACTGCCAAAGTGAAAATACCGGATTTGTAGTTGCTGCATGGCTCAACGGAAAGGGGAGTAGGCCCGTGCACTGGACCGGTAGCCTGTAAGAGATAAGAGGATTTGGTTGCAAATGGATGCAGTGCAAATGTCTGCAACCTTTTTAAACTTAGGCATCATTTGGCATCATAGTTTTGACAAGGGAAGCATGCCACTGCAGACGCTACTCACTGTTGGTCATTAATAATAATCACAGAGCAGACTCTAACCCATTCAAACCACCTATGCAATACTAACCGATTGAAGTAGATTTGAAAGTTGTGCGTGCTCGCTATCTGATACCGTCCCACAAAGATACTGCCTTCGTTGCTCATGACTATATCTGTACACAAGCTACCACTTTCGAAATGGTGTTAAACTTTTGAAACTTGATCTTAGAGTCAAAACTTTTGGCATATCCTGTTCTACGAAGCCCATTTTTTCTTCTCCATACGCGGAGGGAAATGAAAAGTGCCTCTTAGGGTAAAATGTTGACAGACAAGTTCGAGATGCTTGAAAAGCCATGCTTGTTAATATTCTCTAAAAGATGATATCATACAACACAATCTGATAAATTAATGCGCATGGATTAGACAACGAGAAAATTACTTGCCATATTCTCAATCTCATATAGCAATTTTAACTTCCCTCGCGGAATATCAAGCAATTCTATTGGGAATGTGTAGCCTACCAAAGGCACAATATAGCCCTTTCAGACAGCCACACGTTAACTATAAATCAACATTTCTTGAGAGTCGAGTTATTACTGTAAATTACATCTTTGCTTGCAGCGTGACTTAGCCTCCTCTTAACTTTCCTTTAGATAAATATATGCGAAAGAATTTTGTATACTATATGACCAGCTTAACTTAAGAGATACTTCTATACCAAAGTACTAAAAGCCTTATAGAAATATGAGCTTCAACAACAAGAACTTTGTAAACTTAATATCCAAATCCAATTTCACGTCAGCCTTGCATGAAGCACTATCGGAAAGTTTGATAGTTATTAATTACTAATAACTGACCAAAAAACAGTGTGGGTTTGTTAGTTCCAACTTTATTGACGAGAAAGGCCGCGAAGCCATCTGAAATTGAATTGATAACTTCGCCTGCAAAACTACAAATTAATGAAATCTCAAGAACATACGTGCTCAATTTCGTCAATTCTCCTCTGATTTCTTCGATATACTTCAATGCGAAGTTTGATCATCCACAAAAGGCCAGCGACAACCAATAAAACGATGAAGCAACTAAATTGCCGCGATCGAGAGTTGTAAAGCACGAGTTTGAAACATTGCTCCGAGTACTTCCGCGAAACTTACGCCGCAAAAATGACGAAGAAAAGGACCCAGTTAATTGGTGGAGACTGAGCAAACGACACTTGAATTGTGATGGGAGTAGTGAAGTTGAAAACGCGTACCTACAACAATCACAGTCATAACAGAATAACTATATTCAGAGAGCAGAAAATCAAGGATGACCCACAAAGAAAGTTGTATTTGCATCAGTTCCATATGTAAAATCTGGGTCCGAAACATAAACTCGCCGGAATCCTTTTGAATCGCATGTGGTGTCGTGCTAAAATCATTAATAATTAGTAAGAGATTCCGGCCTAAAACAACAATGAGTAATACAGCAAACTTCATCCTGACGTAGAAATTGGCATAAATTTGACGAATCTTACCCACCATCATTTTCTTTGGATGTGACTCAAAGAGAGGAGAAGAGATATTCAGCGCTACGTTTGCCTGCGAGCCTCCATCACAGCTTATTTGAAAAGTTACGTCGGTATCCTTCTGTAAATGATGAATAAAAAGAATTCCTGGAAACAGTAGAATTGCAAGGCAGACGTTCTTTTCTAGGCGGGGGTAACAGTAATTGAGTTGGCGTCCTACGACCAACTCAGCCGGAATGATGTTAACTAAAGGTTTAAGCGAAAATACAATGAAAAGCACGAACAGTTTATCTCATCTAGTTCGCACAGAAAAAAAATCAAAACCATCTCAAGTGGGTTTCAAACAGGAATGCTTCAATCAAAGAAAATCCACATTTCATCAAACTAGACAAAATTCCGGCTGTCCTGCATTAACAAGCGTGATAAGTAATATAAACCGGAGGTTTGTTCTTTTCTGAGCTAAAAAAAACTGCTTAAACTGTTTAGTAATTCTCAGAAAAGATTTTAAAAAACATTTTAATGCTTTTGCACAATATCCATAAACCTGTTTTCCGCCCTTTTTACAGCTGAAAAAAAAAAACGAAATTGTGAATACAGAATGCATACAGAAGCTTCTATGAATTACAGAAAAGCTCACCTTGTGCGGAATGCTGAACAAATAGATTTCAGTTGCATGCTTATCCTTGTCTTCATTTTTCAATTTGAATGTGAAGATGAAGTCTACGCTGAGTTCATCTGTAACCAATGCATTACATCGAAGCAATATAACAATGAAACTGAAAACCATTGCGCTTACAGTAACAAGGAGTTCCATTTTTCGGTTGACCGTAATATTTTTGCTCACATCGATCACATTCATTGCCAGTCACACCTTTTGTCCTACAGTGACAAGCGCCGGTAAAGTTGTCGCAAGTATCAGCCTGTCCATTGCATTGGCAAGCTAAACTTTGCAATCAATAGTGAGATAACCACTAAGCGATGCATAAAGCATCAATAAATAAAACACACGTTTGCAATGATCGCCATTACGCGGATCTCCAAAAAATCCAGGAGCACAGAGTTCACAGTGTTTTCCCATGGTATTATCTTGGCACTCTCCGCAGACTTCTTGGATGCCCCCAAGAGTATGACGCGTTTCATTGCACATGGAGTGCCCATTACACTGGCAAGCTGAAAGCCAAAATGAGCAAGATAAACGTGTTGATGTCAGTTGTGAAAACGAGCGAACCTGGACAATCAATGAAGTACCACTGTTCGGGACGGAAATTTGGACCAACTTCCAAAGGGCCCTGTGCTGATCCTCGAGTGCAGTTCCCCAACCCAGTATGAGAACCATCATCCAACCATCCACATTCAGGAGAAAGCTGACACTCAGCGCAAGTCTTATGTGCAGAGCAATTTGATGACTCTGAAGACGAGATAACTGCAGGAAGTAAGGTAATATGCATGCAAAAAGCTGCAGGTCTTTTACAAAAAGTAAATTTCCTGAAACACAGCTATTAGGCTACAGCTAGTCGAGCTGAGCAACACAAGACTCGTTTAAAGTTAATATGTATCAGACCAAAGACACTAGACAGAATTAGCATGCTTTTTCAGAATTTTTTCCGAAAGTAAAGATAACAGAATGTATATACCAATTCTACAAGATTTTGAGAACGCAAATCCATGAGCGTGGCCTGCAACCCAGGAATGACACTGTCCATAAGCAAAGGATAAGGCATATGCTTCCATATTGATGCACCTGCAAATTTCACTTGCAGTGAAAACAACCCATCAATTACAAAAGACTAAGGTACCTATTCGTACTAGGACACCACATGCATTTCTGCTCTTGAAGACACTGGGTGCATGTGTAAAAGGATGAACATGGAAGAGGACAGTATGAAAGATTTTGCCCAGGCGGAATCGGGGGTGGAGTAGTTG